CTATACGTATATATCACGTCAAGTCAGTATTGGAGCCTGGGGCACACTCATGTTTGACACTGAAGTGCATTGAGTTTCAGATATTTTTTATCTTAATATATTTGCATATATAATGAGATATGTTGGGAATGGGACAAGTTTGAACACAAAATATAACTTTGTTTCATATATACCTTGTACACATACTCTAAAGTTAATTTTATATGGTATTTTTAGTGTTTTGTGCATGAAACATAGTTTCAGTATGTGGACTTTTCCACTTCATGTCACTATTCCAGAAATTTCAGATTTTGAATTATTTTAAATTTGATATTTTCTGAATAAGTACAATCAACTTTTATAAGAAAAGAAAAACATCTATGTGAAAGGAATATCCATGTGAAATCTTTAGAATAGTGCCCAGAATATAAAAGTTCTCATGTGAGAACTATTTTTCTCACTGCCCAAATTATTTCCTATTGGAAGGTAGATGAAGCAGTTTTAGGAATCATCCTCACATAGACAGAGGAAGCAGAGTCTCAGATTATGTAGCATTAAAGTTGGCTTTTTCGTTATTCCTTTCTGTGTGTACACATACAGATTATAAAAGATCATACGTGCTTTATGTTTCTTAATATTGATGTTTCAAATGAATTCCAAGCCACCCTCTACCCTATGGAGAGCTGAACAAACAGTGAGTGCTGGGTCCATCTATTTGAACTCAGGGAGACTCTTGCCGCCCCATCCCCACATCTGCATTTAGCATTTGGATGACTGGCTCACTGCCTGTTGCTTCCACCTCACTTCCCTCAGGCTAGATTTGCAAATCATTACTATTCCACACTCAGTAACAGGCTATAATTTCCCTCAACTTCTGACAGACACCTTCACTCTAAGTGATGGGAAAGGCATTTCAGATGTCAATCCCCAAACCAAGCTGTGCTGAGGAAAACGGATGTGAAGATCACGTTGTGGTTAATGCATTCTCCTCAGAAGCCACAGACTTGTAGCAAATCTACCTTCCAACTGAATCAGAAATATTCTCCCTCATTATTTCCTCTTCTCTGCAGTGTTCTAAAGTTGACCCTTCTGAAATTTATATGCAATTTCTCTCCCCTATAATTATAAAAGAATTGGTAACATATCCTTCCAGAAATAGAAGTTGAATAATAATTATTAGTACCTGCATGCACATATTTCACATTCCCTCTCCTAGCCAGGGGTTAAATTATAACATATGTTATTCGTTATACAGAATTCAGAATTGAAAAAGAAATTAAATGCAAAAAAGGGGAAACAAAATATAATAGAAAAATAAAGAGGGCTGCAGAATCTGATTCACTGGATCCAGGTTACACTGTTTTACCATGGTAATGTGGAATAAGCTGAAGTCCTCCAAACCTCAATTTATACATGACAAAATAGCAAAATATTACCTTCCAAGATTAGTACAAGGATTTAACCTACACCAGGTGCCTAAAAGAGAGCAAATATGAGATAGATATTGAAACCTTGGTAACTACAGTTGTTCCTCAAATCAGTTTAATGCCCCTGTTGCTTGGCTCTATAACCTTTTTTAGCATGTAAGTTAGGGGTTTTATGATGGCATTACCACACATGAGTATCATGCACTTGTGTTACATTCATCCCCTCTATTATTTGTTTTTATTTCCCTTTTACTCACTGCCTTCCCTATCCCTGGTACTCCTTCAGTTCCATAATTCAATAAGTACTCACAGCAACTAGCTCATTCCACTATAAACCAGAAGTTGATGCTTAGCATTCATAGTCAAAGCTGCTTCTATAGAGGCTAATCTGAGGGAAGAGAGGTCCTCTGTATCAACACCAGTCATTTTTGTTTACAAATTGGAAAGTTAAATGTAGTCATAACTCAACTGGAAATGCAGGAAATTCTGAGATAAGGGAAGAAAAGGAGTAAGAAGGTAGCTTTTGGAAAATGAAATCAACAAAAAAGATTAAAACAGAATGAGAGCAAATCTCCACTTTGGTAAGGCTGTGAAGAGAGTTTGGAAGGTCAGGATATGGGCTGGGATGGGTACATGTGTTCAGGGAAACCCTCTTCCTCCACCCAAATACTCAGGAAAGTATCCAAAATCCTAAAGAATTCTATATGAGCAGATTTGGTGGTGGTACCAAGAAACAGGTGAGCACAGCAGGGGCATCTGGGGAGTAGAAGCTTGGAGCAAAAGGATGCTCTGATCAGAAGCAAAGGTGGAGAGTCAGGTAGTACCCACATGGATAGCCTGCACCCAGGACCACTCATCCACACTGCTGCAGAACATAAATTAGCACAGCCATTTGGAATAGTAGTAAAGATTCGTTGTGCAGATCCTGTGAAATGGTGATTTGAATGGCAACTCATTTGTGTAAGATTCATGCATAGGAATGTTGAAAGCATTTTCATCAGAAGAAAAAATGGAAACAAGAATAAAAAGTCCATATTCATTAACATGAATAAATCTTAAAAACATTTTTGCAGGAAAAAATAACTCATAAAATAATTAATATTATGATCCTTTTTCTATAAATGACAAAAGCAGGAAAAACTAAATCACAAGCATTTCCTTACAGACACCTATAAACATGTAGACACACACTTATAATATAATGTTATATTCTATATCATGTATCATATATTATATATAAATTTTATATATATAATTTAGATCAAAACAAGGAAATTATTAGTACAAAATATGTGACAGTGGCTTGCTGGGGGTGAGAAGAAGGTTATCAAAGATGAATGCTTTGGAGCTTCTGAGTCACTGGATATAGTCTGCTTCAACATGCGGATCATAAATATTCATAAGCACTTGCTTTATTGGTTTTCTTCCAATGCAGACAGATGTTATCAGACTCCTTGATAAATATACTTGCTTCACAATTTTAAAATAAAGCGTTTTAAATGAACTGCCACTGCGCCTGAGTAAGGAAACCACTGTAAGTAGTCATAGCAGACCCTTGGATGTGAATACCAACATAGGGCATGATAAGCATCCTGAGCTCACCCGACATGTGAGCTTAAAGGGCATAGCAAAAGTGTTATTGAGCTGCATCCTGGACTTCAAGAACATGGATTCTTTTTAAGTATACATTAAAAAAAAAACATTTATGAAAACTTACCACCTGAACTAAGGGTAGCTAGGACTAAATGCATAAGGCCTGCATAAGATCCAGCAGCCAATTTGGGGCATTTCAACAATTCAAGAGAGGTCTGACTGCAGTCTCCTCCTTGAGTGGAAATCATTCTTTCCTAACACCAGAACACCCGAAAGCACTCATAAGTCAGGTTTTCCATGAACCATTTTCTGCTCTGTGTTTTTTTCCCCTCCATATTTAGGTAACAAAGAAATCTCAAGCTTTTCAAGAGAAGGAAGTATAGCTTTTGGCTCTCTGATCTTTTTAACACCTAGCTGTGTATATCTCTGGATGAATGAGTGAGCATGATCAAAGCCAATCAGCATGTGTGGAGACAAGTCGGAAGAACCATGGCGTCCTAATTAGCTGATAAGGCTGTGAGCTTGTGGAGAACAGTTAAAATTACAAACATGTGAACCTGCTTGACAATAGATTTTTCAGCTTGTCATCATTTGGCCTCAGCGAAGTGTTTCCCTTAGTGTCCTAGGCGGTTTATCAGTCTGTACAGTTTGTCCTGTTTTTTATTTGTTTTTGTTTTTTGAGACAGGGTTTCTCTCTGTATCCCTGGCTATTTTGAAACTCACTTTGTAGACCAGGCTGCCCTCGAACTCCCAGAGATACACCTGCCTCTGTCTCCTAAGTGCTGGGGTTAAAGGCGTGCACCACCCCCTCCCTGCTGTACGTTTGTTCCGTAGATTCCTCAAAAATCATCCTCTTGCTCAAAACAAATGACCTCCTATATAGAAAAAGACTTTCTAATGAATAGTAAAAATGTTTCCCAGAAACCCAGTTAGATACATCTGTGAACTATCTTAGCATAACAGCATCCCCCACACTCTGAAAAAAAAATCTTGTGACTTAAAACGAGATAACCAACTAGGGTCAGATGGAAGAGGAGGACCTCCCCTATCAGTGGACTTAGAGAGGGGTAGGGAGGAGATGAGAGAGGGAGGGTGGGATTGGGAGGGAATGAGGGAGGGGGCTACAGCTGGGACACAAAGCAAATAACCTGTAAAAAAAAAAAAAAAAAAAAAGATCCAGCAGCCAAAACCTCAGGAGGAATAACAAACGGGCTCATCAAGTCTCACCCCTGCTTGGGATGCTGTTGGCAACTGATGGCTGCAGGGGCAGGTCAAGTTGATTCTCTCCAGGAATATGGACCCTGAGAGGCTACCCACGCTCCATTCAATGGCTCCACACCCTACACACACCTGTGCACACACCCGTCACACACAGATAGAACTAAATGGACTCAGTGGTTTGGTTTCTGTTTTTTCTAACAGAGTACATGAAGTCAAGAGGCATTTTTAAAAACATTCAGTGTTTTGTTTTTCTGTTTTTTGTTTTTGTGGTTTTTTTTTTTTTTTAATTATACAGTGTTCTGCCATACACACTAGAGGAGGGCACCAGATCTCACTATAGATGGTTATGAGCCACCATATGGTTGCTGGGAATTGAACTCAGGACCTTTGGAAGAACAACCAGTGTTCTTAACCTCTCATCCACCTCTCCAGTCCAAGTCAGGAGGCATTACAGGGATTAGATGAGAAAGGAATGATAATATCAAAACACTATTATATATTTATATATCTATATCATGTATATATGTATATAAATATACATTTATATTATCTATGTATATATCATATATACATAATATATTATGAGTTATTTGTTCTTTCTAAAATGTTTTAGCAGTTATATATATACTGTACATATAATTATATATAATCTATAGTACTATATATTACACATTAGGGCCATAAACAAATTCTCAACAAACACTAAAATCTTGGCGTATATAAACAATGATTGCTGAGAAGTCACTGAATACAATTAATCAAATTGGAGTCATTAAGTACCTGAAATGTATAAGAGAGGATATTTCCACTTAGTCTGTAGAAATCTTTTCCATCCCCGCTGAACACTTTCCTGCACTGGCCACCGAAACTTTTGGTGTTGAGGACTCTGTTCCTAAACTGGCCGGTAAGCGCGTTGTAGCTGTGAGGAGAACAGAAAGGAGGAGGAGGAAGGGGTGAGGGGTGGCAGTTAAAAACCAAACCTAGTGTGTGCTGGGGAAAAAACGATTAAAGGCTTCCAGCAATCAGTCATTAAAATCCTCTACAGTTTAACACCTGAGAAGCTACAAAGAAAGGAACACTACCTAATGCTTGCCACACTTCGGCCAGCTCCTCCTGATGCTGAAGAGCCAACACTAACAGCCGAGAAGAACCAACAAACATCCTATGAGCCTGGAGAGCAAAAATTTGGGAAGCATTGGCCTTGGTAGTTATGGCAACGGCTGCTTTAGAATTGATTCTATAGATAAAACCAATACAGTTAAGGTTACTGGGGAGGAGAGGTTGCTTTCTACAATGAGTTTCCAGCTGCTTCTCTTAGCATGCTAAAGCATATTTGTTAAAGTAACTGTGCCCTGGTTTTCTGTTAATAAACTTGAAGATAGTGTAGGACATTATGTATTGATTTTTCTGATAGATTACTTTAGAAACTAGAAGCCAAGAATTGACTTAATCCTAAATTTATAAAAACATTAATTGATAGTTTCTCCTCTCGTGTTCAACTATGTTATTCTTCTCCTTCCCCCCCTCTCTCTTCCTGTCTCTTTGTTTCTCTCTCCTTTTTCTCCTCCTTTTTCTCCTCCTTTTTCTCCTCCTTTTCCTCCTCTTAGAGTGACCAGCGGCGCAGATTTGCGCCTCCCAGGCATGAGAGGTTTCCCTTAACGTGAGACTTTCAGTGCTGCATCCAGGTATATCTGGAACAACAGCTCACTCTACATCTTACTACATGTATCTACAGGTACTCAGCTATGAATTTTTCATTGGAGCAGGATGTGGCAAAGAAATCTGAGCTAATGTAGATGCCCAGCTACTGGGTAACTTATTATTAGACTCATCAAACCATAAAACAGACCAAAAGTAAAAACTACAACCCATTGGTATTCTTGGAAAGCGACCCAGTGCCTTACCCGTTGCCAGTGAGTTCTACGTTGGGAGGAGGTTTATCAATGTCACAGGAGGGTTTGCTTTCCGAGGACTCACATCTGTCCTCATCAGCCCCATCTTCCTCACAGTCAGAATCCCCATTGCAAACCAACGACTTGCTGATGCACTGACCTGAACAGGAGAGAAGCACTCAGAAAATCTCAAAGAGGCAGAAGAAAAAAAAACACAGGCTGAGATCACCCCAGCACTGCACTGATAGAATACTGTGGGTTTCAGACAAAGCCTCAAATTATCTACAAAAAAAAACTAGTGATGGCTTTGGTCACCATTTTGAAGCACACATAACTGATTTTCACCTTTCCCAGGTGCAAATTGAAAATAGACCTGAACTCAAGAGTCCAGAGTCAAAGCCAGAATCATCAAGCATTTCTGTCTACATCCTCCAAGTTCCAACCTGGTAAAACCAACTGATGTCGGAATCCTCAACTTTTTACTTTGTTTCTGTAATTGCTAAACAAGATGTCAAACTTGTGCTTTTCTTGGTGGATTAAGTTGTGTAATTTTTGAGAGCAAAGAAACTGGATCAGAAGATTGAAACTCAGCATTTTTCAGCTTCTACTTTGTGGAAGACTTCCTGGTGCTGAGAAACAAATATGTATGTTATAGTCATTGCTAAACTTTTCATATGCTGTATAATCTGCTAGTAAGAACTATGAAGACAGGAGCCATTAGAAGACGGCACCATGGTTATGACAACTCAGAATACCAAAAAGCACTAGTGCAGTGTTCTCAACCTGAGGGTCGCAACCCCTTTGGGGGTTGAACAACCTTTTCACAGGGCTCTCATATCATATCCTGCACATCAGATATTTGCATTATGATTCTAAACAGTTTCAAAATCACAGTTATGAAGTAGCAACAAAAACAATTTATGGTTGGGGGTCACCACAACACGAGGAACTGTATTAAAGGGGTGCAGCATTGGGAAGGTTAAGAACCACTGCAACTGCACTAAGGGTACCAGATGATCTTGGTCCTGTCTTCCTCCCCAGCATCATCCCACCCTTTTCCTCACTAGCTTCCTATGCCCTCTGCATATCCGACCATCTGTATGAACACAGGTCTAAGTTTCTGTAATTTCAAGATTTAATACATCATTTTCTCTGTCTAGAAGAATTTTCTCTACTCCTCTCTGATGTGTCTTTCAAATATCAAATTCATTGTTATCCCTTTTTGGAAACTATCCTTATCCTTTGGACTATGAAGAACATCCTCTAATTCTTCAGAGGATGCTTTGTGCACGGGCATGTTTACAGTGTAGCATGTAGCTCACTCTATGCATCACTCAAGGCAACACAGCAAACATCTATTGAGACTCTGCCTATGTACCAGGCATTCCCCAGGAGAAAACAAACAAATAGAACTTATGTCTACAAAAGTTCAGAGAGATGTGCCAGTCACCAGTTTGGATTGCAGAGCGTGAAAGATGCACAGTGAACAGACAGAAGTGATTTGTTGATTAATTCTATCACCTGAGGGATTATCAAAAGCTTCCCAAAGCAACCATCACATGATTTGAGTTTTCAAAATAAAATAGGGGCTTTACCAGTATTATTTAAGAATAACTATAGGCCTTAATGCACTTAGTGCTAATGGAGATGTCTTTATCAAAGCTTTCTCCTCAAGGATCATGGATCTATGCAAAAAAAGGAGGTGTGAAAAGATCACAAGAATTAGATATGATGAATGACTCCAAGAATTTTCCAGGTAGAAAAAAAACTAATACACATGTGTATATGACAGCAAGCACAAGACCGACACAAGCTCATGTCAAATGGGGTCCCACGGCTGAGAGGAAAAAGTGGACACAAGACGCTTTTTGGAATTTATACCCACTACAGTGGAGTGATACTGTGTGTATCAGCCACACAGGACAGGCCTCAGGAGTAGTTGACCAATACTAAGAGGAATTCTGTGTTTTCCTGTGTCTTTTTCTGTTGTTGTGGTTTTGCAGATTTTAACTTTTTAAAGTTGTTTTTTTTTTTTTTCCCTTGGTTTGGGATTGTTTTATTTTGAGAAAAAAAGAACATGAAATAGCGTAATGTGGGGAGGTAGGGAAGATCTGGGAGGACTTAAGGGCAATTTGATCAAAATATATGAAAAATATTTTAAACAATTGTAAAAGAAAAATTCTCATACAGTGATTCTTTATCTACTAATCTGGCCATAGAACTCCAGTATATTTCGGGATGTGGCAGTGCACACCTTTAAGCCCAGCACTATCGAGACAGAGATAGAATTCCTGAGTTCAAGGCTAACCTTATCTACATAATGAGTTCCAGAACAACCAGGGCTACACAGACAAACCTTGTCTCTGAAAAAAAAAAAAAAAAACAACACTTCAGCACATTTTATTTTGCTGAGTGTGGTGGTGCACACTTCTAACCTCAGCATTGAAAAGGTGAAGAAACAGAAATTCAAAGTCACTCTCTTCTACATAGAAAATTTAATGTCAGCCTCACCTACAAGATACCACATCTCATATATACATCTGAGGCTGTTGGTAGTTATAGTTCTATCAACATGCCAAAGAATGTCCATGCTTTTATAATCGGATGTTTCTCTTGCTTTTGAATGGATGATATATAATACGTGGTTTATCTGATTTTTGTGGTTAGCATACCAATAAAAATCTTGCCTATTCTTGGGTTAAATTAATTTGGAGGCCAATATAAATTCAAACAAATATGTATCGAGCATGTTAACAAGTAATATTTGAATTTACAGTCTACATGCTGAGCCCATGGAAAACAAATTACCTGAGAAACACCTAAACCGTTCCCCACAGCCCTCTTCGGTTGGACAGCCTCGTTCGGGGTTGCAGGATTGGGTTTCGAAAGCACTTCCCACACACGGATGGCCTCCATATTGCCCGTAAACAGCCACCGAACGCCATCGAGTCTGTACACAAGCAGAAGATCTCTTTGTATTTTATATTTTAGATATCTCGAGTTTTCTTGAGTGGCAAAATCTGACTTCAATTTGGGAAATGTTCATGTTTCCCAGTAACATGTTCTGGCATGGTACAGAAGTAAAACCTACATACTCAATGAGCACACAGGTTCAATGACGGTTGAATACCAGCTTCCAGCTCTATATTTACGGTCACTATTGAGTAAGGGAAAAAAAAAAAAAAAACTTCCTGATGGCTCTTTGGAAAAGTAACTCGAAAAAGTAAACATATTACAATACAGAATAACATTTTGGCTAGAGGTATATTCTGCGAGTTAAGCAGAAAAAAATATTGAAATGCACTTTGTTGGAGGAAAGGAAAGGTTACAAGGAAAGGGCTTAAGATGAAGTGAAGTTAAGGAAACGTTAGTGAACATGATAGTGATTAACTTGAACTGGGTCTTCCAGGAAAAGAAAGAGAGAGAGAAGGGGAAAAGCCCAGAGAGAAATGTACTGATAGAGAGGCCAAGTTTACAAAATGACCATGAGCAAATCAAATGCTGAGGGATGTTAACAATGAGATTTTACTAGCTGATGGAGAGTTATGCTCTGAGAGGAAAAATACGTTAAAAGTAGACTTCTTTTAGAAAAGAAGAAAATGGAAGAAGTTCCTGAACTAAATGAAAAATTCATGAGTAGTCCTAAAATTTGTTTCGTCCACATTCAGTGTGAAGCCCTTTCAGCTGGTGGCCCTCCTCCTTTACTTGCCCTCTGGTGCTGTCTAGTCTCATGCTAACTTGCACAAGCTAGAGTTATCTGAAAGGAGGAAACCTCGATTGAGAAAATGTGGTCCTGAGTTCTCTAAGAAAGCAGACTGAGCAAGTCATGAGAAGCAAGCCAGTAAGAAGCACCCCTCCGTGGCCTCTGCATCAGCTCCTGCCTCCAGGTTCCTGCCCTGCTTGAGTTCCTACTCTCAATGCTTTTGATGATTGTAAATTCCGTTTTTATTTCTTCATATGTTGAGGGAGAGATGAGAGCCATACACAAGCTCTCAGAGCATTTCTGTCTCTGTTCTAACTATTCCTCGGCCTAGGCCTCGAAATTTCTAGCCTTCATACATTCTAATCTTCTAAAAGCCGGGAACTTGAAGGCTTCAGCTTCCAGCCTATGTCAGCTAACCTAGGCCTAGAATGTTTTCCACCTTCAAGACTTACTGCTGAATAAGCTCAGGTCTTTCTACACTCTGCCTGGCTGGTTCAACTCAGCTGTTCTGGCTCAAAACTCCTCTCCTAGCTGACTGATTCAAAGTGGCTTCTCTCTGCTTCTCATTTAATTGCTTTGCTTGGAAAAACCAACTCTGAACTCCATGAACTGAACTGCACTGACTGAACTGACTGCATGAACTGAACAGAACTGCAAGAATTCATCTGCATTCAACTGAACTGCACTGAACTCAACTCAGCTTTCTTTCCCTGTGCTGCTCTTAAATAATTTTTTTTTCCCAGAGAGCTGACTATTTCTACATATCTAAATATATCCTGTTTCTGACTCATCCTGTCAAATCTTTCTTTGATTCATTACTGTGTCTGCCCCTCAATTAGACTTCATTGTTTTGGGATTAAAGATGTGTACTAAAGGAATATCTGTATTCCATCCAGAGCGATTAAAGGCACGTGTTATGTCTGCATTCCAACTGAATTACACAGACCTAAAAGGTCTTTGGGTGTGATCCCTCCCCAGAGCAGCCAAGTTGCTGGATTAAAATTCTTCTAGAGATAATGAGCTATTTACAGAACTCTGAGTAAGGTAAACCCTTTCCTCCCCAAAATGCTTTTGGTCACAGCAATAATAGCACTAATTAAAGTAACCCTTCTCTATTAACAAGAAGTCCATCTGTTTCCAGAGAAGTCAAAGCTTTTGTGACAATCAACAGAGAAAAATAAGCATGCAAACCAAAATTTAATTTATTCATCCATCTTACATCAGTCTGGAAATGGGTGCCACCTGGGACAAGTATAATTTGGACTCTGAGTGAGTTCTTATCGGCTTCAGCCTGGCTGTGGCACCTTGCATTGCAGTCAAGAGCAAAGCTGTATGAAATGGGACCAAGTAACGTTCAAAATGTTTTCTATTTTTCACTGATGAAGTATTGCCAAACACGTAGCCTATCAGTCTGCCCTTTTCTGCACTCTGAACACAGATTGTGTACTTCACACAGGGATGTTTTCCCTTCTCCATATTGCCGACCAGGATGTCCATTCTCCACACAGTCATAATCACCTCTGACACTTTTTCATTTTCACCTTTCTCTTTCTGAATAAAAATTGTGTTTTATCAACTGGGATATATCCACTACACAATGACATTCATCAAAAAAAATTTTTTTTTCTTCCATGAAAAACACACTATGTCTGTCTTTCTATTTAGAATTCATTGTTTGGCTTTTAAATTATAAAAATGATGTGTGCACTTTCTGCTTCTTTTACTTTACCCTTGTTTCTCATGTATTTTTCCTATGTAATCAGAGTCATCATCTGTTATGCTTGCTAGATGCCAAGTTTTTCATTTGTGTAACTTGTTTTGAGAATAGTACTCATATAGATAATAAAAGAATGCTTCATATTTTTTTTTAAATGATGGCCAAATGGTGTGGTTCATACCAATAATCTCAGCACTTGAGAAGCTGAAGCAGGAGGATGGTCATGAGTTTAAGACCAGCCTGGGCTACTGAGTAATGTTTTGTATCCAAAAAAAAAAAAAAAAAAATGATGATGATGATGATGAGGTTTGGAGAAAGCTCAGTAGCAGAGTGCTCATATAGTGTGTCAAAGGATATGAGTTTGACCACAGGTACTACAAAAGAAATGGGTGGAGAAAATGGTGCTGAAGAGACTTCAAGACAAAAATCATCTTCTGTGATACAGTTCTTATTTTATGCCTGATTCTAATCAAAAGACCAAGAAGCTGTTGCTTTTTGCTCTGTTTTCTTAACAATTTAAATGGGGTGGCAAGATTGCTCAGTGTTTAAAAGAACTTGCTACCAAGTCTGATGATCAGAGTTCAGTTCCTAAGACTTGCATGAAAAAGAAGGTGACTGACTATTACAAATGGTTCTCTGATCTCCATATATGTTCTGTAGGCAACACAAGTCCATACACATATATATGCACAAATATATTTTTTCATTTATTATTATTATTATTATTACAATTTATTCAATTTGTATCCTGGCTGTGGCCCCCTCCCACGTTTCCTCCTAATCCCACCCTCCCTCCTTCTTTTTCCCTAGTTCCTCCCCTAGTCCACTGATAGAGGAGGTTCTCCTCCCCTTCCATCTGACCCTAGCCTATCAGTTCTCATCAGAACTGGTTGCATAGTCTTTCTCTGTGGCCTGGCAAGGCTGCATCCCTCCCCCTACCACCACCATAGGGGAAGGTGATCAAAAAGCCTGCCACTGAGTTCATGTCAGAAACAGCCCCTGCTCCCTTTACTAGGAAATCCACTTGGAGACTGAGTTCCCTTGAGCTATATCTGAGCAGGGGGTCTAGGCAATCTCCATGCATGGACCTTGGTTGGAGAGTCTGTCTCTGCAGGACTTCTGGGCCCAGATTTCTTTGACTCTGTTGCTCTCCTTTTGGAGCTCCTGTCCCCTCCATGTCTTTCTATAAAATTCTTTCATAAAATTCCATGCATTCTGCTTAAAGTTTGTCTATGAGTCTCAGCCTCTGCTTTGATACCTTGATCAGTAGAGTCTTTCAGAGGTCCTCTGTGGTAGGACCCTGTCCTGTTCCCTGTCTTGTCCTGCTTCGAATGTCTATCACGTTTGCCCTACATTCAGTAGGGCAATTCATTCAGAGGCTTGGGCAAATTCCCTAAAATCAATCTGGTGCTTTCTCAGAAAATTGGGAATAGTGTTATATCAAGATCCAGCTATACCACTTGTAGGCATATATCCAAAATATGCTCAACTATACAACAAGGACATTTGTTCAACCATGTTCATAGCAGCTCTATTTGTAATAGCCAAAATCTGGAAACAACCTAGATGTCCCTCAATGGAGGAATGGATACAGAAATTGTGGTACATTTACACAATGGAATACTACTCAGCTATTAAAAACAAGGAAATCATGAAATTTGCAGGCAAATAGTAGGAACTAGAAAAGATCATCTTGAGTGAGGTAACCCAGAAACAGAAAGATACACATGGTATATACTCACTCATAAGTTGTTCTTAGACATATAATATAGGATAAACATACTAAAATCTATACTCCTAGAGCTGGAGAGATGGCTCAGAGGTTAAGAGCACTGTCTGCTCTTCCAGAGGTCCTGAGTTCAATTCCCAGCACCCACATGGTGGCTCACAACCATCTATACTGGGATCTGGTGCCCTCTTCTGACGTGCAAGTATACATGCATATGTAAAATAAATCTTAAAAAAAAAAATCTATACTCCTAAAGAAGCTAAACAAATAAAATGTAAATATAATAAAATGATTAAAAATAATTTAAACTTACTTTAAATGTATAATTTATCTAAACTGAACCATTTAAAATATTTAGCCATTCAAGTGCTCAGGACCTTTAAAACAAACATTGTATCCTAAAAAGATTATGGTAACATATGACTGATATCTTTGTGTAAAAATATTTATTAAAATTTTATTTATAGCTTAAAAATGGATCCAGTATGTGGGATGTATTGGATCATCAGTTTGAGACCAGCCTGGGTTACATAATGGGATTCTGTCTTAAACTTTAAAAAATTATAAACAACCAAATTATCAAACAACATAAAAATGGGTAAGTTGCATGATTATATTTACAAATGAAGTTTACTATATGTATTCCAAGGACATGCTGATACTTTGCTTAGGTAAACTAATACAATACAAAACCATGTCCACCCACAAAACCTTCGGCATACAATCTGTCCAGCCTGCAAGGTGTTCTAGGATAACAGTTCACAGAAGTTACATGAGTGGCCAACCAATGTGTTATTTAACTTCAGGCCCAAGCTAGGAGAGGGAGCCAGGCTGCCTGGATGGCCAAGAACCAGAGACTGGATAGCCCAGAGGCCTAGGGTTGAACCAAACACAACTGGCCAAAACAAAACAAAAACAAACAAATGAAAAAATAATGAAATGTTTCCTAATGATGTTCTGCTATGCTCCCAGATCGGTGCCTTGTCTAGTTGCCAATAGAGAGGATTTCTCTGGCAGATGGGAGCAGGTGCAGAGAGTCTAAGTTGGACATCCCCATTGGAGCCTTCCCCGAGCCCATGGAAGAGGGGGAGGAAACAATTTTAGGAGTCAGAGGAATGGAGGACACCAGGAGAACATAGCCTACAGAATGTTAAGCAGGGATCACATGGGCTCACAGAGACTCAAGCATGGGGCCTGCAGGGGTCTGCACCAGGTCCTCTGCATATATGTGATGGCTGTTGGCTTGGTGTTTTTGTAGGACTACTAACTGTGGGAGCAGATGTGTCTTAGAATCTTTTGCCTGTTTTTATGATTCTTTTCTCCTATTGGGTTGCCTTGTCCAGCCTCAATATGAGGACTTTTGCCTTGTCTTGTTGTATCTTGTTTTGTCATATTTGGTTGTCATCTCCTGGAGGCCTGCTCCTTTCTGAAGGGAAATGGAAAGGAAATGGATCTGGAAAAGAGGAAAGGTATAAAGAAGGTGTCCGGGGGCGCTGGGAGGAGTGAAAAGAGAGGAAACTGTGGTCATGATGTACTGTGTGAGAGAAGAATCTATTTTCAATTTTTAAAAATCACTTGAAATAGTGATAATATTTTAAAAACTATAAGCAGAATTGAAAATACAGTACTCATGAATGAAATGCTCAGAATATAATAAAATGATGTTAAAATAAAATAAAGATTATAAACACACAAGAAGTAAGCTAGGAAAATAAATTAAAAATGTTGGCATATTTGTTTCTTCAGTAGAATTATGACTGCTGTTTTCTTTCATTACACATTTCTGTACCCTCATCAATAATGTTTCATAAATAAAAGACACATTTTCAGAAGCACTGTGCAATATCCAGATAAAATCTAGTGATTTATTTTATATTATTATTTAGGAAATAACTTAAGACACTGAAGATCCTAGTTTCTTCCTTGAAAATTACTAAGATAAGCTTCAAAATATGTTAACACTGATTAATGAGCATTCAAGGTTTGATTTTGTGATCACACCCACACATAACAATAATGATGTCAGAAGTTTTGTTGGAGCCTACCTGAGTCTTGGTACAGCCATTGCATTCTGACCAAGGGCCATAGGCGTCCCACTGGCAGTTGACTGGAGAAGATGCTCTGTCACAGCACCAGAATTTCCATTGTAAAGTAGGTGGGATGATAAGCAAGGGAAACAAAAAACAGATTAGGGTAGTCAAAATTCGTCAAAGGCACCTCACCATGGGG